CAAATTTGGCCCTTTTATGACTTGTGGACTTCAACTCCCAGAATTCCTCAGCCAGGCACGCTATCTGAGGAATTCTGGGAGTTGAAGTCCACAAGTCATAAAAGGGCCAAGTTTGAAGACCCTTGGACTAGTCCAGGGGTAGTTTCCAACTCTGCCATTCCAGTCTCCACTCACAAGCAGCACATCTTGCTTGCATGTTCTATCAGTGTCAAATTGAACTTGGGAAGCTGGGATAATCTCCTTGCCAAGGGTGACAATGTTCTTGGTGTGTATTCTTGTGTTCTTTGTCCCTTCCAGAGATACACACACACACACACACACACACATACCAGTCACAATGACACAACAAAGCAAGATTCAAAGCGGAATGTTGGGCTTCATTCTATAGTAATGATATGGCTAGATTTTCCAGCTCTAATTAAAAGCAGCATGGATAGAATTAAATATGCATATTTGCATAAATGTATAGTTGATAGGAGAATGTCACAGTGGAAACATTTTTATTCTGGGAGTTGAAGTCCATGAGGCATAAAAGAGCCAAGGTTGACTACCCCTGGACTAGACAATGGTCAGATAAGAGGCAGCTGAGTTCACAGAAGGAATTTAGGTATGGCAAACATCTCTGTGAGGGAGAAGAGATGTCCTTTCGGATGTGCAAAATTCTGTTGATGTAACCTTGCAATAAAGATAGAGCTGGTACTCCTTGGTGTGCTTCTTGTCTGAACTACCTCACGAGGCTGACAATATATGCAATCATACCCACTGGCTATTAAGATCAGAGCTACCCAGTGCAAAAAACCTAGGTTACAGGCCAATGAAAACCACTACATTCTCCAAACTAGCTACAAACCAGCACATGACATGGACACATGACTAGCTACGCCCTGGGTTCACACTTCATATCAAGACTTTCCCAGAATGGCCTTCAAAATTAGCAGCTATAAAATATTGTGTGTTAAGATTTCACATGTACATTAATAGCAATAATTGACCAATTTAAGAAATCTTAGAACCATGGCACACATCTCAGGGGAAAGATCAACTCAGTATGTAGCTCTAACAAGTGTAAAATCTGTGCTTGGAATCATTACCTCAAAAATAATGCTTTCATATAAATTTACAATGATGCATAATTTGGGGTATTCTGCAGTTCTGACATTATCTCTATAAAATAATATTAGGAAAGTGCAAGGAAGGATAGATGAAATGATACTGGAGCTAAAGCAATTTCCCTATGAGGAAAGGCTACAAGCATCTAAAAAAAAACAAAAACCCTGTAGCAAATACAACTGGCAATGCTGTGCTTGCCATATCCAGTTTCCAGCACTGGTTAATTCACCAAGCTGGCCACAGCAATTTCAACACCATATCCTGTTTGAAAGGCTGATTGAAACGGATTCACTATCAGCAATCTTGGGCTATAGTGGATCAATGAACTCAATGACTCCCATGTCCTAACTTCTATAACCCAGGATATCCTAAATGGGATTTACTCATTAGTACTTCATAACAATTTTATGAGATAGGTTAGGCTGAGAGAGACTAGCTTCTCTTGGATATAAGATTTGCATTTTTAAAAGAATTCAATGTACTGTGAATAAATTAGAAAGCAGAAAGCAAGCACTTCTGCACTCCTACAACCATTGTCAGAAGAGGTGAAAGAAGAGGAAAGTGTATGAGTTGAGTGCTGCCTATATTAATTAATGTAAAGTTAAATAATCATTTAGTATGTCTTCAAAGCAAAGCCAATTATAATTTCTTGCATCAGTGACCTCTGTGCCTAAGTAAATCTCTGGATCCGCTTTTTCCAGATGGTTTTCCTATTAACTGCACTGCTTTAAATAATAGAAAGCAATAACATTCTTAAATTTATTTGTGAAGGGCACTTTCTGTGATTCTGGGTAGTTTCTCTCTGTACAACAGAGATTCTCTGTCTCACGGGGTTTGAATAATTGTAATTATTTCTTTCCACTGTTGCCAAATGAAGGCAATTAGAAAAAGCACATTTCCCCCTCTTTGCAGAGACCAAGAGAAATAAAACTTGAAATCAGCATTTAAATGTAGGTTTGCAAATAAACCTTCAGAAAGTAAAGTAGGAGAGGAATATATTGCTTTGGAGTTTAGTGGGGTTTATATTTCCCACTTCTATAGTACGTTGAAAAACAATAATATTGAAATTAATGAAACTGTACATCCCAATCTGACAATTTAGTGGAATGGGAATATATTATTATTACCCCATAGTGTAACTGGAAAGCCCTAGGAATTTATCTGTCCCAAACTCAATTATGATCCAATGTTAATATCTTCTTATTGAAGTCTGCCCTGACCACAGAACTTCACATGCTGAAGAGTTATGCTTAGGACTAATGCTTATGAAGAGGCCTAATTTATACATATCTTGTATGGCCTTTTGTCCTGGGACCTCCAGGCATAAACCACAGCTAAGCAAACTAAGATGGAATTGAGCTGTTGGTTTGATTTCTGAGCTTGGCAATTTGACTGCAAACATTTTGTCTCCATTCAGGGGAATATCTTCAGTGCGCTTTGAAGACATTTCGCTTCTCATCCAAGAAGCTTCTTCAGCTCTGACTGGATAGTGGGGAATGGCAGGATTAATACTCCTTACAGACAGCTGGTCATTTGCATTCTTTTAGAGAGACATTGATGTCACCTGGAGTCTTATCTGTGTCATCAGGGTCACCTGAATAGTGCAAATGGGTGTGGAGCTTTCTCGAAAATATTGAAAGGACTGTGTTGTAGATTGGAGATAGATTATGTCATATCCCTCCCCCTCTATTGAGAGAAGGCTGTTCAGTTTTGACATAGATTGCCTCTTTGACCCCTCTTTCAAACCAATGATCCTCTCTGTCCAAAATGCGGACTTTTTTGAAAGAGTGGCCTTTGTCTTTTAAATGCAGATGGACTACTAAATCTTGTCCTGATGGGTTTGTTCTCCTATGTTGTGCCGTATGTTTATGAAGTGGTTGTTTTGTTTCCCCAATGTTCAGATCTGCACATGGCTCATTGCATATACCACGTTGCTCAGTTTGTGTCCGGGTGTTTTGTCCTTGGAGTGGACCAGCTTCTGCCTGAGTGTATTCTTGGGTTTGAAGTGTGCATGTATGTTGTGTTGGCTGAAGATCCTCCTGAGCTTTTCTGATATTCCTGCAATGTATGAAATAACTACATTGCTTCATTTATTGCTTTCTTCTTTATCTGTTATGGAGGAGCTTCTGTTGGGTCTTTTTTGGAATTTGATGAAGGCCCCCTTGGGATAGCCACAAGTTCTGAGGGCTTCCTTGATGTGTTTTAGTTCTTTTTCTTTTCCATCTTTGCTGGTAAGAGGCCTTCAGCTCAGTTGTGTAGGATTCCGGTAACTCCCATTTTGTGCTCCAATGGGTGGTGAGAATCAAAATGTAAATATTGATCTGAGTGTGGGGGTTTTCTGTCTTCCTTAATGTATATTGCATAGTCCAGGAAGGCTAGACTATTTTCCTTAACATCTTCATGTGTAAATTTGATCTATCTGTCCATCGAGTTGATATGTTTGGTGAATGCTTCCAATTCCTGTGTCTTGATCTTGACCCAAGTATCATCCACATACCTATACCAGTGAATGGATGGAATTCCTTTGAAGGAGTTTGGGGCTTTGGTTTCTACCTCTTCCATGTAGAGATTGGCACAATGGAGGACACAGGTGAACCCATAGTGCAGCCGTGTTTTTGTCTGTAGAAACCTTCACTGTATTTAAATAGGTAGTGGTCAGGCAGAGGTCCAGCATGGCACATATGTAGTCTGGATTGAGGTTGGTTCTGTCATCTAAGGTGCTGTCTTGTATCAGTCATTTCTTCACTACCGTGACAGCTTCATTTGTAGGAATGCAGGTGAAGAGGGAAGTCACATCATAGGAAAGCATGTTCTCATCTGAGTCCAGTTTTAATTTCCAAACCTTGCTGGTGAAGTCGTGTGAATTGCTCATAGAGTTGAACACTATATTCCAAGAACACTTCAGAATCACCTTCAAATGTGGGTCACATTTAATTTTTAAGTCAATTTTAATGTTAATATTTATTATTTTAATGTTCTGTGTTGTTTTTATTTGGTTGTAAGCTGCTTAGAGTCACTTCTGGGCAAGATGGGCGGCATATAAATCTAATAAATAATGAGTTAAATTTGTTAAGCAGCTGTAGCTCAAGAGCTTCCATGTTTGGGTTGTTATATGATATTCCATAGCTAAGAAAATAAATTGATGGATCATGGAACAAACTGTCCCAGAATTTTCACTCAAGGTATAATGTCCAGGCTCAAATTATCATACTTTGGATACATTATACAAAAATAAAAAATAAAAACAGCTCTCTGTGGAAAACTCTAATGCTAGAAAAGGTGAAGGAAAGAGTATGTCCAGCAGCAAAGTAGGTAGTCTCAGTTCCAGTAGTGATTAGTGCATTGTAGGAAGACCAGATTGGTCATAGATCATCCTGGAGAAAAATGTATGTGGTTGCTAAGAGTCAACAACAGCTTGATGGCACATCAATCAATGATATTCCCAAATTCTTCCCTATTTCTGAAGAAGTACACTAAAAAGGCAAAGCAATAGAGACAGTATTTTCACCTGATGCACAAATGAACTGAATGGTGAACTGAAGCCATTTTAAGATCCATTTCAGCAGGACTACTACGAAAGTTGTTCTGGAAGCACAAAGATGATGATCCCTCCCCCCCTCCCCCCGCTTTCCGAATGCTTTTGTTGCTATGCATGTACTTCTAATGATCCCTGTAACTGTTGTCGGTGGGGGGGGGGGACAGTTTAGCCAACCTAGTAAAAAAACATATCTATGTACCATGAGAAACTTGTCAGCTTTGCAATTAGCAGCTCAAAGCTATACAACCGAGAAGGCAGAATGCAAACGTATCATTTTGGTGGCTAAGAGATAAAACATGTCAGATGGTATGCAAATCGAAAAAAGTTTATTTCAATGCATAAAACAAGCCCTTTAAGCTGTTATTTGCTGTATTTATATTTCTCATTTTTAGTGGAGCAATAGAGAAGAACAGAAAACGGGCAGCATTTACCGAGGTCTTTCAAAATGTTGGCCCATGAGAAAGATTGCGGCGCTGTCGTTTTGAGTTTGCCCCTTACATAAGAAAACGGGGCAAAGGTGCGCGGCACAGTACTGTATTAGATTGTACAATTTAGTCAACTCCGCAAGAGATAAAAGTTGTTTGTTTGGAAAATGACCAATCGCAGGCTTCCACTGTTGCTCCTCCCTACTTAAAAGAGTTCACAGAATTAAGTCCTGAATGCAAACTTCCTCGGGTTTTGCAGCCAACAGAAAAAAAACCCCTACTATTGAGCCCGTCACGGCAAACGTCTTTCTTCTGCAACAAATAACACCTAAACAGGGAAGAGGCGAGCAGACACAATAGCGAGCGCCCGGAAGCCTTTCGCGGCAACATCAAGCAGCCTCCGGAACACCGACGGGGCCCAACAAAGGAGTTAACCAATAGAGAGCGAGGTTGGCCGTCAGGGACTGTCCCGATTGGTGTAAAGCGCCACCGCTCAAGCAGGCTGAAGTGCAGGTTGGAGTCAAAGTTGGGGTCTTTACCCGAGTCCCTTGGTGAAGGCGCGACGTGGCGGGTTAGTGAAAACGTTGGTGCTGACAAGGGGTGGTAGCTCAGTCGTTGTCTCGGCCCGTAGTGAACAAAGTCGGGGTGGGGAAGCCCCCTTTCGACTCAGCAACGGGTACCCCTTCAGCCAGGCGTTAAAGCTCCATGGGCCGGTTGGGAGGAGCATTTGCTTTTGTTTAGGGAACCTTAAGTGTTAAGGCTATTGTCTGAATCGTTCCGTCCCCGTGTTCTTGGCACTATTCTCGGCATCGCGTTGTTTTGGAGAGAAACTACTAAGGAAACTATGCAGGCGGCTGTTGAGATGTGAACTTGGTCTCCGAGATGCCATGTCTTTTTTTTTTTTTTTTTTTTTGGCACGGCAGCTTGCTACATCGGACTGTCTTTTCAGAGTGTGTAATTTCTGTTTAGAGCGAGCAAATCTGGTCTGCAAAACTCCAAATGGCCACTAGCGGGCAGTAAAGAGAAAAACCCTGCCAATTGGCGGTTTTGAGATCTAGTTAGTAGCTCTTTTTCGTTCCCATGTATTGTGGTTAAGATCGAATTAACCCGGGGGGGGGGATCAGATTCAAAGTACTTACCTGCTACCTGTAAATAAAATTAAAAGATATTGCATTTCTTTTTGCTAGTTTTTTATATTAAGAAATGTTTTTATTGATCAGATTTGCCTAAAGGCGGAAGATTTTATACAAAGGGGAGAATATGCAGTCCTGCTTAATGGTTATTTATGTGTTTGGGGGAAGTATTTAAACTAATCATGAGTTTCCCAGTATGTTCCACCTGTAAAACTCTTGTTTGCATAGAATTGAAACTTAGGCCCTACTTTATATTTTTGCAGAAATGGCTGGCAAGAGCCAGGAGCAGACCATTGAAGAAGAATTAACCTGTTCCATATGCTATGACCTCTTCAGGAACCCTGTCATGCTGGAATGCATGCACCATTTTTGTAAAGAGTGTATCCAAAAATATTGGAATAGATGCCCCAAAATTGCCACTTGCCCCCAGTGTCGGCAAAAATTTCCTTCCCGATCCTTTCATCCCAATTTTATTGTATCTAATATAGCGGAGACAGTTCGAAGATCTGCCTCTGAGGAGCACAAAAGGAAAACCAAAGTAAGTAACCATGTGATGAAATCAATTTTCTTCGGCCATTTGGCAAGTAGCATATTTAACATGAGATCCAGCTTGGGCATCTGGCTATAAACTGAAAGATTATAATTCTGGTCCTGCCCTTAGGCACAAAGCCTGCAGTCCCTGTGCTGTCTCTCAGTTCTAGAAAGCAGGCAAGAACAAGTCACATCTGAAAAACCTTGCCCAGAAAACTACAGGACTAATTCAGGCAGCCAAAGAGTCAACAATGACTCAAGTCCACCCAAAAAAGCCTGCAATAAGCCAATATGCCTCTTCCAGACATGATCAATGAACTTGATTAGTTCTGTCTATGATTTATCTGCCTGTATCACAGTCAGTAAAACAGGAACTGTGGCTTCTTCCTCTTTCACACATTCATCATGGATTGTTCTTGGTTTGCGTGGCTTGTGATTTTGGTTGGCCTGGAGAAGACAAGCCAGAACTATTCATATGAAAAGATAGATATGTCCATTGCAGATAGAATCATCAAAGGATGTTACTGAGCTATACGCAAACAGATGTTCTGAAACATTGTCCATGGACATACCACACATTTCTGAAATGTAGTTTTCCATGGTGTGCAAATATGCCTAGCATCTTCAATCTAGCAAATACTTAACCACAAAGTTGCAGAAGAAAAGTCAGATAACTTTTCGATCAAGATATTTATATTTTTGTTTTAATTCCATCCTCTCTAGCCCATTTTCTGTCTACTTTGGCAATAGATGGTATTTTTACGATTTCTAAATATTTTTATTATTTTCATAAATAACCTAAGGCAACAAACATACCTAATATTCCTTTTCTCCTATTTTTCCCACAACAACCACCTTGGGAGAGTTGGGTTGAGAGAGAAAATTATTTTCTCCCTCCATCCCTCCGTGGGATGCAGGCAGCACACGAAACCATGCCCTCTCCAGTCCGCAGAAAAACCTCTCCACGTAACCAGTCCCTAATGCTCAAAAGGATGGGAACCTCTTCTTTAGCTCATAAGTGGGGTGGGTGGAGGAAGCAAGAGAGAGAGGTCTCCAGCAAATGAATAAAAAAGATGGTGATAATAATTATTGATTAGGGAACAGTGGTAAAGCAACTAAAGTGGGGCTCATAGGCACAGTGCAACTCTGCAGCTTAAATGTTTGCATCCATTGTCAGCACCAAGTGGGAGCTTCCATATTTACATCTCGCCCTTTTCATATTTGTGTCCTGGCACTGGATGCAAAGAGGTAGGGTTGCAAGGTTTGTATCACAATGTCACTGTACATGGTTTATCATTCTTTCCCCCCTCTGGATGCCTTTGGAGAGGTTAGTGGCTGGAAATAAAATGTGTGAAGAGGAAAAAAAACAACAGCATGCCACTATTTTCATATCCTTTCTCTAAGGAAGATCAAGGGAGAGTCAGGAGTTCTAACAAGCAACTTCATGGGATAGGTGAGGCTGGGGGGAAAAAAACTTCCTTTCTGATGAAGCTGCAAATCTCTATTGTACTGATTCCAAAATTAATATTGGAAGTTATTCCTACGTATTGAGGCAAATGCTTTATTTATTCATTCACTTTCAGATGGAGTTCCAAAAGGTCCTTCAGGCCTACCAGATGAAACACGACAAACTGTTGAAGATGAAGCGAAAGAACGAGGAAGATATCAAGAACTTGGGGGTAATATTACTGATATGGGTTAGATCAGGGTATCTCAATTTGTTCTGCTGAGCCCCAGGTCTCCACAAGAACTTGATGGGGTTCCATGAGTAAAAGGAGCAAAAAAAGGAGGGGATCACTCAAATGTTGCCAATTTTATATCACTACAGCTTTGCCTCTTGATCAAAATTTATGGAAAAATTGGGCAGAGAGTTAACTTAACAGGCCTGAAAACATCTAAGAACCCCTGTGTTATAAATTAATCTAGTTTCTTTCCACATATGGAAAGCATTTGTCTCTTCATCTTTAAACTGAGCGTGGACTGGGCCACCTGATTTCTTTACCAGCACATGGTGGTTTCAGAGATAACATTCTCTCCTTAAACAAGCAGGTATACAGGTAGTCCTCAACTTAGTGACAGTTAAGCCCAGGAATTTATGTTGCTAGGTTTTACCCTATTTTACAACTTTTCTTGCCACATTTGTTAAGTGAATCACTTGCAGTTGTTAAATTAGTAACACAGGTTGTTAAGTGAATCTGACTTCCCTATTCTTTGACTTTGCTTGCCAGAAGTTGGCAAAATATGATCACATGACTCTGAGACACCGCTGCCGTCATAAATATGAACCAGTTGTCAAGTATCTGAATGTAAATCACGTGACCATGGGGATGCTCCAAAGGTTGTAAGTGTGAAAAATGGTCGTAAGTCACTTTTCAGTGTTGTTGTAAATTTGAACGGTCACTAAATGAAGTGTTGTAATTCAAGGACTATTATTCAAGCCTCTATTCCTTTTGCAGAGTACGTTGTGCTCTGACTTTTCAGCACCCAAGCAGACATCATGTAACAGTTTACTCTGAAGCCATTGTCAGGGATGTTTAGAATTCCAGGCTGAAAACCTGGGTTTTCCAAGAAAACAAATTATACTGAGTCAGAAAGATATTTTATTCTTTTCTCCTATATACAGTATGTGTAAATGTTCTAATTTCCTTATATTGCAGGAAGGATGAATGCAAAATAAGGATCAAGGAACATTTAACCCTAAGTAATTGTCTCCATGGATAGCATATCAGTGAAGAAAAAAGGCACCTAATCATTTATGCAGGATAATTACTTACTAGGAATCCCTCGGTGTGTAGTGGTAGTCATCAGAATGAGAGGCAATGCAGCCAGTCCATGGAGTTGGACTTATTAGTGACTAGGGAGGAGGCTATTGCTTAATGTCAGGAGTTGTGTAAGGACCCACCTCAGCTAACCACCCAAGACAGCAGAAACCTTGAAACAGGCATTGTTTCAAAAGGAAACTTTTATTAGGGGTTAGTGACAGTAGGGAAGTCAAGGCGAGATCTGGAGAAAATCCCGCTTTAACAGTATAGTTAAGCTAGCAATATTCCTCCTTCTACCAAAGTCACAATGTCCATTTGAAATCCAGCCAATCCACAGATGGCATGATGTGCTGGTAACTGGCACAGTTGACACGCATCTCAAGTCTTCTCCAGTTTTGTTTCTCTTTTCAGGGAGACACATTCCTTTCTCAAGTGGATAGAGGCGGAGAAGAAAAGCAGAAAGCGAAAGTTATCCCAAGTGAAAGCAAATATCCCCCCCCCCCCGCTCCCCAGCAGAATGGCAGGCCCCAAAACAAAAGCACAAAACTATATATGCAAGGAAAACAATAAGGATTTGGGGACTTGACAGGTTGTCATGGGTCTGTTTTGTTCCCTATGCTTTTATCTGACCCACACGAAGCTAGGAGAAAACATCGTGCTTGAGGATACCCAGTTTTTCCCCTCTTGGTCAGCTTGACTCAGGGAGATTGTTCATGTCCTTTATTGGTTCTAGATGCAGTGATACATCAGAGATAAATTAACAGAATTAAGCTCACGACAATATGGATTAAACCTAATGCGCAATAGGAGTAGATATGACACCTTTTGAAGAATCAGGTTTATAGCTTGGCATGCTTTAGCGTTCATCCCAGACAGTTATGAGGCTATTGTGATCAGGATGTCATTGTCTACACTCTACTAGTATGCCCTTTACCAGAGAAGACATATTTGTCCACTTTCTTCATCTTGTGATTATTTTTCTTTTAAACTATTAAAATATAGAATATTTAGAATTTGCAGTTGATTCTTTCTGACACGTGATTTGCTGATCACATTACTCTACCTTTTTAACAGTATTGTCATGCATTGTGTTTTAAGTCCAGTTAAAAATGCTGGTTCTTGCCAACAAACAGCCCTAAACTGGAGCTTGATGGAGAAGAATTGCCTTGGTTTGCATGAACTTTTGATTTGTATGAACTTTCACAAATTGTTTATGTCCTACCCCCAAGAAAACTAAGTTGGTATGGGAGGGGGTGTATTCTTGTTTAATGAGGCAAAATGTTAAATATTGGCTGGCTTGCTTTGTTTATTATGATATCTCTATTTTGCATTTCTTCTGTGGTAAAGTATGTAGGGTATCCATTTTATCTGTAACAGAACCCTCTGAATGATGATTTGCCAGGAATTGCAAATTCTGAGACTGAATGAGACTTGAACTTGGATCTTCCCAGTTCAAAGTCTTAATGACTGTGCCACATTGGCCACCTTGATAATACAGCAATCGCTAATAATTTAAAAATTAAACTGAAATAGAAACACTCAACTTTCTGCTTTTCTCATGTACTTCATTCAGATGTATTATGTATTAGAATATTAAAGTGTACATCATCTGAAAATGCCCTTTCTGGATTGAAATTTGACTCCAACATTTTATTAAGTTTTTTTTTAACAACCAAGGAATCTAAACACACATACTTCTGGGTGTGGGAGAGATATTTGCTGAACCATCTTAGTTTTCCTCTTGATATCTTGTCAGAAATAATATTAAACATTGTGCAGCAGTTTCTGAATAGCTAACAGTAATCATTAAATAGGCTTTTTTAAAATTAAAGACTATGATTTACCCTTGAAGTCATCAAGGTGTAGGAACATGATAAGTAATAATAGTCTTCCAGTTTATCAGAGAAACAGTACATCTAATCCACCTTCAACAAAATTTATCTAGGGTAAAGTTTGGAAGCATTAGATTTAAGTTCATGAAAGCTTCTGTAATTATTCTATTAGTTGTTCATTCATTATATATATATAATATATAATGACAATGTTTGAAAGGCTTGGGTAGTCTAATTGTTGCTAGTTTGAAATGACAGTAAGTAGCAAGTAATGTTCACTTCAAAAGGAGTAATTAGAATTCAAAATTAACTCTAATCATTTTGAGCCCATTGAGACTCACTATAGAAAGCTTCACATTCAGTGTACACCAGAGGAGTGTTATAAAGAAAGAAAGAAATCAAATAATACAAGACAGATGAACATTGGGGCTTGTTTTGATGCCCCTGAATATAAGCAGTGTGTAATCTGTTTTTATAATTTTGTGCACAATGAAATTGAATGGCAGGGGGGAGAGGAGGTCAGTGATAATGTAACTAGACAAGACTTTTTTATCACAGTATTGATCCTCAAAACAGGTGGACTGCTGTGTTTACAGAAAATTGGAGAGGGGCAAATAAAATGCTCACAAGTTTACAAAAGATGGTAAAAGGCCTTTCATAAATCTGATTTTAAAAAAAAAAACGAATGTGAGCATTAAGCAGAAAAGGCCCACTTCAATCTGGTGTCCTCCAGGTGTTTTGAAAAACCCATACATTCAGTTTCTGCCTCTTGTTCACTGTTAACATAGTATTACTGATTAATTGCTGGATAAGTGGTTATTATACATTTGCGTCATACCCTGTTGTGATAGGACTGTTTTTAATGTAAGAATATAGCAATATTTTTCAATAAAAGATAGAGGAGAAAACGAACAAGAAGAGCCAAATCTTTATAACTATTCCATGTGGGAAAGGAACTGTTCACATAAAGACCAATCAAGGAACAAAGTAATCTTGCAGTTACACTGAACAAGAAGCAATTAGAGAAATAAGTCACAAAAAAGAAGCTTCAAATTAAAGTTGCAGTAGTTCTGAAAAGACTCAATAGTGTTCTGCCAGACCATGCTAAAAGAATAGTACCATAATTGCCTTTAAATGAGAAAATTCTTCAAGTCTGTTTGAAAGAAGACCGAGGAATAGCTTGGGGAAATTGTGGTGTGATGAATTAACTGCAACATCTGGATTCTCTGTAAAAGTGAGACAGGACAATTCCAGATTAAACAGTAGCATTGATACAACTGCCGCCCTATGGCTGTGCAGATCACTAGGAAAATAGCTGAAAGCTTTAAAAGCATGCTTTGCTCTCTTCTTTAACAAAATGATGATACGCTGCCCACAAAACTTTTATGGATGTAATATGCAACGTAATATCTTTGGGAACATAGATAGCTGTTGAATATATCAAACATACACCTTGTTTCTATTTCTTGTGATCTCTGTCCAGACAACATCTGGGAAACTGAAGTTGAAGATCCAAGCAGCATTTCAACATCTTCATCAGATCCTCCAAGAGGAGGAAGGAAGGATGCTGATGGAACTAGCTGGAGAAGAAGAACAGTGTATGCTGAGACTGGAAACCGCTTCCATACAATTCATAGAAGAGATTGCTGAGTTGAAGAAGAGCATGGAGCAGGTACAGCGCAGTCTCGACAACTTGGGGATCTCATCAGTGCTGCAGGTGAAACTTCCTACACTTCACTTGAGATATGAGGGTTGAACTTAGGAGTCCATATCAAATTTACCCTTCCTCGGTTTTATTCATGCTACAAAAACACACCGAGGTGCAGGGAAAGTGGTAGACCAGGAGGGCGTGGGACAAGTCAGAAGAATGGGTTATCTCCTGAGAGAGAGAAATGTGGGCTCCAAGAAGTCCCCATTTACCAATTTACAGTCTGAAAATGTTCATCTTTTTTGACTGTCTTGTCCGTAACTAGACTTGATATTTTGCAGCATGCTGCCAGAGCAGGTGATTTTCTGTTTGGCTTTCTAATGGCATCTATAGTGCTATCTCTACCTGTCTTCCCATCTCTTCTCCTTTTCTCCAGGGTGATCAATGAGGATTCCTTCCTCTCGCCTTCCTTCCCTCCCTTTCCCATTTCTTGCAGTCTTGACAAACATGGCAAGGTAAACTTCAGCTGACATCCTCTTTCTCTCCTCCCCAGCAGGGAACAGCTTTTGCTCTTTTCATTTCCATTTCCTGCAGCACAAATGATAACCCATGGTTTTAATGCGATCTTTTTACATCGCAGTAAGTTGCTATGGCTACTGTGGCAGGATTGCTAAGCGAATGGCTGATTCTCCCTCTAATACAAATCGTATGGGAAATTGTCTGCCTTGAGAAATTACTGCAAACTCCGCCATACCAAGACATTGAGTCTTGTAGTGCCCAAAGAGGCCATATTGGCTCTGGATTCTATCCAGCAAAGCTGTTCAAGGAAAGAATCATAACTGATACTGGAGGTGAAAAGCCGGAGGATGCCCCCGCCCCAAAGTCTCTTAACAATAATCTGATGATGAGGGAAAAGGCAGAGGGTTTGATGAGGAAGCCCAGGCCTTGTATTGAAAACACCTCAAGTTTAATCCTTGCCATCCCAGAGAACTGAGAAAAGCTCCTCTCTGAAAACCTGGAGAATATCTACCAGCTACCAGTACACAAGAAAATGAGCTAGCACTAAACTTACATACTGCGGTAAACCATGGTTTATTTTAATTGTGGATTATTGACCCAGCTGCTATAATTGAGGTATTAGCCATGGATTCATAAAACATTCCTATGTCACGTTCAACCAGATTATAAGGGAGATTTCTGATTAAAAATTAGTTAAAAATAATCTGGCAAGGCTATTGAAAAACCCATGCTTACGACATTGTTTTCCAGGTATTTTCATAATGATTGCTTTATGAGTTAATCTCGGATTTATCTAGATTATCTATATAAAAACTGTCAGACCTTTTGTTCTCAGGGTAAATTGTGACATCCACATTCTTAACCTTACTTCCAATTTGCAAATGTCTGGAGATTCTCAGTCATCCAGGTCAAGGTAAAGGTGTTTTTTCAGGAGGCAACTGGACTTTCTTGTTTTTCTTTGAAGATGTTTCGCTTCTCATCCAAGAAGCTTCTTTAGCTCTGACTGGATGGTGAGGAGTGGAAGGATTTATATTGCTTGCAGACAGCTAGTCACTTGCATTTGCCACAGTTGTTAAGTAAATCATTGCAGTTGTTAAGTTAGTAACGCAGTTCTTAAGTGAACCTGGCTTCCCCAGTGACTTTGCTTGACATAACGTCACAAAAGGTGATCATGTGACCCTGCAACCATCATAAATATGAATCAGTTGCCAAGCGTCTGAATTTTGATCACATGACCCTGGGGATGCTGCAACAGTCGTGTGAAAAACGGTCACAAGTGACTTTTTTCAGTGCCATTGTAACTGAACGGTCACTAAATGAACTGTTGTAAGTCGGGGACTATCTGTATGCTATTCTCTTTCAGGATGAGCAACATGCAAAAGGCAGAAAAGGAGTAAAAACAGTAAAAGAAAATGCAGGCAGTCCTTGACTTATGACTGGTTGCTTAGCAATATTCAAAGTTTTGATGTTTCTCCCCAGAGATATTTACAGCCCGGTTCCAGCAGCCACATCCCTCATAACTGGCCCATAGTGAACAATTGCTTTACTTAATACACTTAACAATCATCACAAAAAGATTGTAAAATTGGGTCGGTCACATGAGTGACTTATTTAATGACAGTAAGACTTATGATCGTAATGGACCCTGCACATTATGGTTTTAAGTCAAGGACTACCTGTATGGTTAAATTTCATTTCTACCAGCTCCGTTCATTATAGCTTTCCATACCTTTCTGTCTTTGCAAATCACATTGCTGCCAGGGCCTTTTGGAATAGAATATAGTAGAGTAGAACAGAACAGAACAGAACAGAACAGAACAGAACAGAACAGAACAGAACAGAATAGAATAGAATAGAATAGAATAGAATAGAATAGAATAGAATAGAATAGAATAGAATAGAATTCTTACATCCTCTTACTGTAGGTCTTGTGAAATGTAACCATGATTTTCTCAGTCTTCCTCTTCACTACTCCTCCATGTGTTTCTTTTATGATTCACTAATCATTCATTCTGTTTAGATGGCTGAACCATCCCAACTTACTTCTTTAGGACTGGTAAAACTCACTTTTTAATCCAGACGTGGATTTGACACCTAATAATCTTGGTTCTGTCTCTTCTGGTTTTACCATGTACTGTACGTGTAATTGCCCCAGCACATTCAACATTTATGCTTCTCATGACAAATCAACTCTTACTTTTATAGAACAAAGTAAGCAGAAGCTTGCTCTTAGGCACAGCCTTTCTTGCTTGGTTTACCAGGCATTCCTCACAATAGATCACATATTATCCATTAGCTTTCTGTCCCCATTTGCACATCCTAAAATTCATCCATCCAGTCCCCCATATGTTAACTGTTCTACAAACTAACACATTCAGCCACTTGCTCTAGGATGGGTTTTTTTACCATGTGTGCAAAATTTGCAGTCATTCATTCTGTTTTCTCTGTTCAGTAGAAGCACTCTACACGAATGAAGGCGAATCTATGTGTCTCAGGATAATGTTGCAGGATCCAGTCTGGGTCGGTCACCGGGACACAGGTTTCGTCTTCCGTGCTGGAGCCTATCTTGAAGAGTCCAAAAGCTCAGAAGACAAAACCTCTGTGTCCCGGTGACCGACCCAGATTGGATCTGCAGAAGTGCTTTAGTCTTTAATGCATTAATTTACAGATCCATTCTCCTTATTACAGCTGATCACGGTTGATTTCTCAGTCATCAACATAGCATTGTCTGCATAACAAAGGAGCACATCTGTTCACGTCTACACCCAAAACACCTCTAATGTTACCACAAGCATTATATTATACAACCAAGAGGACTTACATTCTTGTCTTACGGCCTGCTTGAGTTGAAACATTGTCTGTTTCCTTCCCTGTATGATATACTTTCATCAAATAATACTTTTAGCACAATGAGCAGTCAACTTTCCATCATGGCAACTGGACTTCTGAAGAAGCTACTTGGATAAACAGTGAAACATTTCAAATAAAGAAAAGACCAGTTGCCACAATTCAACTTCCAACAACTCTACCTGGATGACTGAGAATCTCCATCGACATTCCACAATTCCCCTTATCACATTTTCCCTAAATCATCAAAAGTACAATAAACTGTATTTCTCATCTTTGTATTTTAAATTGGTTCCAGTTTAATTTAAAGTTATAATGTACAGATAGAGATGACGCTCTTCTGCTTTGCTGGTGACATACTACAGGTTTCCTTCACGATCAAGAGCCAGAAAGACACCCAAAATTATGTTTCTTGAATAATGAAAGACTGAAAGGTTAACTAAATCATCTCCTCATTCATTTTGTGAAATGTTTATTTATCAACTCCAGAATATATTCCGTTAGCATTTAGCTTCCCTTTGGAGTTGTGTTTAATGTTCACTTAATCATAATTGTCTTTCTCTCCAACTTCAGGACTGAATACTGGAGGATCTACTGATACTAGTCCACACAAATTAAGTGAGATATTTCTTAATTTTCTCTGCTTCTTTTTTGCAGGTGGAAACTGTGCCTGTCAGGTATGTGTCCAGAACAGAAACATAAAAAGCTCTTTTGCAATTTCTTCTTCTCTCACGTGCTCTGATAAGGGGATGTTTTCAGCAAGGTGGAGACTGGGATATCGTCACCTTAGTATTCAAAGCACTGAAAGTTTGGAGGAAGCCAGTGAATAGCCCAAGGATGTACAGGTAGATCTGTATCCTCTGAATGCTAGACACAGTTGCACAGATGTGCTAGGAGGAGCTTTTGTGAAATGGTTGAGCTATTTGAGTGAACTCCACTTGTAATTCTTCAGAACTGATTAGCAATCTAAATGGACCAAAGACTAGCCTGCCAGATTGGCAGGATATCGGATCCAATATGAGCTCAGTTAATCTGTTTTTTCTTTTGCTGTGCCAGTCCTGGAGAGCTTTCCAGCTTCACCCATTTGGGCAGGAAACATACACAGAAACACAAATCTCTCACTTACCAAGGTCCTGTTGGATCCCAATATGCATCTTGTGGTTCTGCTTTATTATGATGCTGCCAAGTTGCTCTAACGATTAAATTGGAGATGTGACATCCGTTTCCTTCGTGTTAACTGGTGACAGGGAAAGATTGCTTGTGCAGTTCTCTTCTTCACTGTGCTAGGGAGATATTTTTGCATATAAGGAAATGGCTGGAGTTTTCTGTGGAACCAAGAGTTTAAAATTAATTTGTTAATAGCATTTGGCTTATTTTTTATTAGATCCATTTGTATACTGTTACTGTGCATGTTTCTGTTTGTCTGCAAACTAGTTTCTTGCATGATGCTTAGGACTTTCTCCTGGCCATCCAGGTTGTGGCCGATAAACCACTTTGAGAAAAGGAAGCAGAATGCCCAGATCAGAAACTTCCCCTCTGATTTAAGTTGAACAAATATTGTGGGAATTTGGCACTTTCCAAGGATGCTTCATTCTTCAAACAGGTGTTGAAGAATTGTATGGTTTCCTAGTAGTACTGGAATCAGAAGCAAGAACCCAGGCCTCTTTCCTTAGCTACTGCTTTCAGAGGGCAATAAAGGGTTGCATAGTTTCCTGATCTTGGAGAAGAAGGAATAGGGTTGGTGGATTTAATTAAAAACACCTCTTCGTCCTGATCCCCCTCGTTCCATCAGTTATGTGGACTCAGCAAACAGGTATGGCTGAGCCACTTTATAATAGTTTTACTGCCATCTCTTTATAAAATTGGGAACACGGTAATTTGCTACATAAAAGTGTTGAGCACTTTGTGCTCAATAAAAGTACTGCTTGGTGTCCAGGTGAATTGACTGGAAAGCTTTGAGGCTGGAGACACTTTACTTGATAGTGGAGGGATGCCGTGATGTCTATACTCTTGTCTTACTTAGCTGTGTTTCTTTCTATTCCAGACCAGCACTGCAACCAGAAACATTGACCTTGGGTCTAAAACAGCACAAGGAGCTATGTGGAGGACCTTTGCAGTACATAATTTGGCGAAAGATGCTGAAATCCATCAGCCCAGGTGTGTTTCCCTGTTTCAAGAAAGCTTGGGATAAAGAGATACAACAGAGCTCCCAAATAGCAAAGACCTCACTTAATTCTGTGCCTTGTTCCCATAGCTCCTACTGCTCTGACCCTGGATCCAGAATCGGCCCACCCCAACCTCATCCTCTCCAAAGATCTGACTTCAGTGACAGAGAAGGAGTCACCTCAGGCAGTTCCCAGAAGTCCCAGACGTTTCCTGCAGAGCGTGAATGTGTTGGCCATGGAGTCCTTTGAAAGCGGGCGGCATTACTGGGAAGTCTGGGTGGGCAACAAGACCAAGTGGGAATTGGGAGTGGCTTCAGACAATGTGAACCGGGTAGCCAGAGTCCGGCTGTGCCCAGATAATGGCTATTGGACAATAAGACTGTGGAACGACTCCGAGTATTGGGCTGCAGCAACTCCCTGGGTACGTTTGAGGCCCCAGCACTTTCTGAGGAAAGTGGGGGTGTTGTTGGACTGCAAGGCCAAAACGCTAACTTTTTATAACGCTGAGGAGATGTCACTCCTCTTTACTTTCCATCAGTTGTGGGCTGGCAAATTCTATCCTTTCTTCAGTACTGGCTTCAGTCATGGTGAGAAGAATGCAGAGCCCATGAGGATCTGCCACCCTCTCAGGCTCTGAAATCTCGTTTCACAGGATTCGGTGGTGCTTTCCTTTTTTTTTTTTTTTTCTTTCCTGCCTTTGCAGTATTACAGTACTGTTTCTCTTTCCTCATAACTGCCACTGAAAAGGGTTTGTTGAGATTTCAGGCCATTACGTTTCTGATATAGATGCAGCCAACTGTAGTGAAAAATGAAGGGATGTTGACCATTTTTATTTAAAGTGGTCCCTGATTGTCTTTTCTAAGGTGGGCTTTCTTTTTTATTTTAATCTAACAAGATAGTTGCTATTCATTTAAGGTGCAACCTGGCAAAAAGCAAAATATCTTGACTGTGTATCAGAAAAAATGATAGGTGTGAGTTTCTACTTCCTATTACCACTTTTTCTAAGTGTAAATACGTTTCTTACACATATATATAGTAGGCTTGTACTTTATCTGGTTGGTTTCTCCATCTACCTGAAGAAAAAAAATTCCTTGTTAGTAAGACTCAGTTGTCCAAAAATGCTATTAATTTTCATTTATATTCTGAGTTAAGAACAACAACAAAAAATCGGTCTCAGAAAGAAGCATAAGTTTAAAGAGAGAGCATGAAGAAGAAATGGTTTTTAAACTTTTTAAAACAACCTACAAACTACACAACGGGCGTAATACCAGCAGGCGTGAGAATGTCACATCTTGTCCTGGATTCTGAGGAGATTCAGTCAGTCGAAGAGATTGAAAGCAGCCTTTTCTATGATGCAGGGCTAAGATGCTGAAGAATTAGATTATGCTGTTATCTTTAAAGGAACCAGCCAGATTCACAGGTCCCAGACTGAAGGACAGCTTATAGTGCAGAGGAAGATTTTCCCAATTTTGCTGTATAGTTTTCAAATAAAAAAAATAAGGCATTTTTATTTTATTTCAAAATACAATGTTAAAAAAGTCCTTGAAAAATCACTTTAAAAGAGCATTTTGTATATGTGTGTTTTATGGACATGAAAACAAGATCAATTTATGGGGGACTATGAACCGGAAGCAGTATGTCAGCTTGTACTTTTTCAACATACGATTCAGAATAGCAGCACAAACTGATTTTGTAATAACAGCCAATTGCAGGAGAGAATTGCTGCATTAGGAAATGGGAGATGCAGCTCTGCACAGTTGAAAGGAGGAATTTTGAGGCTATGTGATGAAACTTCACGGATAGCTTAGCATTTGCAAGGGATGTATAAAAAGCTACTCCTACCATCTGTACAATTAGTACAGAGTAGTACTTTTGTACAGTTACATATTTTCTTTACAATAAAGTCAAATGAACCATTTTCTGTACAATGTTAAAATAAACATAAATGTGTATTTCTGCCAATTGTTGAGGAATTTTTCACTTCACACTTTATTTCTACCACTTGGTGCAATAGGGGAAAAAAGTTTTAACAAATCAGCTTTCTGTCTAGATTGACATTAAAGAATATTCATGAGAAGAGTAGAATTCCTTTTGATTTTTTTTCTCCCAGTTTTTGTGTAATTTCTGGAGATGCCAGCAGAGGGTAGTGTCTGCCAATAGAACATTTTAACAGGGCTGAACTATTATTTATATCCCACTATTACTATTTTTTTTTAAAATAACTCAAGGCAGCAAACATACATAATCTTCCTCCTATTTGATTCAGACCTGTCACTCTTATGGTATCTATAGATGTTTGCAAAATGGATTTACTTTTTATAAAAAAAAAAAAAAGTTCTGAATTGCAAAATGGATTTACTTTTTTTTTAAAAAAAAGTTCTGAATTCAGACAATTTGCAAACAGGAACAATTTTTAAAGAGAAAAATGTCTCCCTTCCAGGGACCCCTTTGGTGGCTCAGAAATCCAAAATTGGCTAAAACCCAAAAAAAAAAAAAAAAAAAGTGAATGCTTTTTCCTTTAGAGGGCCCAATGTTTTTCCAGTCCTCAGAGGATATATTTTCCAGACATGCCCCTAATCCTTGCACTAGGCAAGGTAATATTTCAAAAAAAGGTCTAACCATCTTAAAAGGGGAAACTCAGGAAACTTGCTGCTTTTCTCTCCTGTGTTGCCAAAATGAACTTGGCCAGGCTTTTGAGAGGATGAATTCGCTTACCTACTAACATCCTTGTGGTCTAGTAGGATTTGTTGGGGGGGGGGGCTTTGTGCCTCCGTTGTGCCACATACATAAAAGGAGGATCTGCCCCGAAGCTAAGTATTTGGGTGTTTTCAGTGACATTGATTAAATAAACAGAGCAAGTTGATTAATAGTTTCACTTAGTCAAACCTTCAAACTCAAAATAGCTAGTAACAGTTCCTCCCTATCAAATGACATTCAGTTGGCCTTTAAGGGAGGAAGCTGCATTAAATCTGCTTCACATATTTGGGGCCCTGCTTTTAGATGGCCACAAATCCTATAAATAGGTGATTTCCTTTACTTCAAGCTGCCTCCTTTGGACAGTTAATCCCTCTAACCTACAGTAAATCAGGAAAGTTAAAAATGACTAAATCCATTTGCAAATCTGGATGAAAACTTGATAGAAGTGTTGAATTTGAGCATTAAATCATGTTTCTGAAACTTGAATAAGGCTTAACAGAATAACCCAGTTGGAAGGGACCTTGGAGATCTTCTACTGGTAGTTCAGTGCCCTGCTCAAGCAGGAGACCCTATATCAATTCAGACAAATGGCTGCCCAATCTCTTTTTAAAAACCTCCAGTGATGGAACACCCACAACTTCTGATGGCAAGCCGTTCCACTGGTTTATTGTTCTCATTGCCAGGAAATTTCTCCTTAGTTTTAGGTTGCTTTCCTTGCCTTAAGTATAAAACCTTGCTTTTCTCTACATTGAATTTCATTTTGTAAGATAGGGCCCAGCGTTCAAATCTGTTGAGAGCCATCTGGATCTTGAGCCTACCTTCTAGGGTGTTGGCTGTTCCCACCAGCTTAATCTCGTGTGCAAATGTGATGGCTTCCCCTTCTATTCCTTCATCTAAATTGTTTATGAAGATATTGAATAATACTGGGCCTCAGACAGAACCTTGTGGTACCCCATGCTTACTTCCCTCCATGTACACGTAGTTCCATTAAAGATTAAATGCTGAGTGAGTTTATCAGCCAGATATGAATCCATCTGGTGGTAATGATCCCACATTTTACTAGCTTACCAAGAAGTAGGTTCTAGTGTGTTTTGTCAAATGCCTTACTGAAATCCAAGTATACTAGTTACACAGCATTTTGCTGGTCCACTATTTTAGTCACTTTGTCAAAGATTTGTTTGGTATGATCTGTTTTTGACAAAGCCATGTTGGCTTCTGGTTATAACTCTGTTTGCTTCTAGGTATTTGCAGATGTGGTACTTGATCTTTTCCAGGAACTTCCCAGGTATTGATGTCAGGCTGATTGGTCTGTAATTTCCTGGATCTGTGAGGTCCCCCCCCCCCTTTTTTTTTTTTTTTTTTGAAGATGGGAACCACATCAGCTGTTGTCCAGGTCTCTAGTAATTCCCTAGTAGTAATAATAATAATATAATAATAATAATAAAGTTGGAAGGGACCTTGGAGGTCATCTAGTCCAATCCCCTGCTCAGGCAGGAAACCCTATATCATTTCAGACAAATGGCTGTCCAGTCTCTTCTTAAAAACTTCCAGTGTTGGAGCATTCATCACTTCTGGAGGCAGGTTGTTCCACGGGTTAATTGTTCTAACTGTCAGGAAGTTTCTCCTTAGTTCTAGGTTGCTCCTCTCCTTGATTAGTTTCCATCCGTTGCTTCTTGTCCTGCCTTCAAGTGCTTTGGAGAATAGCTTGACACCCTCTTCTTTGTGGCAGCCCCTGAGACATTGGAACACTGCTATCATGTCCCCCCTCGTCCTTCTCTTCGTTAAACTAGATATACCCAATTCCAGCAGCCTTTCCTTACATGCTTTGGCCTCCAGTCCCCTAATCATCTTTGTTGCTCTTCTCTGTACTCTTTCTAGAGTCTCAACATCTTTTTTACATGGTGATGACCAAAACTGAATGCAGTATTCCAAGTGTGGCCTTACCAAGGCATTGTAAAGTGGTATTAATACTTCATGTGATCTTGATTCTATCCTTCTGTTAATGCAGCCCAGCACTGTGTTGGTCTTTTTGGCAGCTGCAGCACACTGCTGGCTCATATTTAAGTGATAGTGCTCCAGGATCTTTAAAAGATATGGTTCAATGGTTCTGAGATCACATCTGCCAGCTCCTCAGAACTCTGGGATGTAATTCATCAGGTCCCGGTGATTTGAACTTGTCTAGAATGGACAGGAGTTCTCTTACCATTTTCTTATCTATTTTAATTTGAATTCCTAAGAATTTCTGTCTTTTACAGTTCTGTTTTTGGTAGGTTGGGCTATTTTTTTCTTTTTCTGTGAAGACAGATGCAAAGAAAGAGTTAAACAGGTCTGCTTTCTTCCTGCTGCCTGTTACTTCCTTGCCACCTTCTCCCATTAGTGGACCAATTATTTCTTTGATTTTTTTTCTTATTTTTTATATAGCAATAGCACTTAGACTTATATACCACTTCATAGTGCTTTATAGCCCTCTCTAAACGGTTTACAGAGTCAGCATATTGCCCCCAACAATCTGGGTCTTCATTCTACCGATCTTGGAAGGATGGAAGGCTGAGTCAACCTTGAGCTGGTGAGGATCAAACCAGCAGCGGGCAGAGTTAGCCTGCAATACTACATACTAACTACTATGCCACCATGTCTGTATATGTTGAAAGAAACTTTTTATTATTATTTTTGACATTTGCTGCAAGCCTTAGTTCACTGAATTACAATGTCAAGTTTCTTAGTTCAAATTGCTATTCCTGTCTCCAAAGTTGAATGGATAATACCTCTTATTGCAGATTTTCCAAAACCTTTAGAGCTGAGGTTCAAAAGTGGATTAAGCAGACTTCCTCTTGGGTTAATTTCAGGGATCGGCCCCTGCTGTATAGCTGTCAGCAAACCAAGAGCAGTTTTATTGTATGGAGGAAAGACAATTTCAGCCCAAAAAACTGCAGACAAAAATGGGTACCAGACGTTTCTCCATAATAGATGTAAGCTGGGTTTGCATAACCAAGACACTTCCCCAAAACCATTGGCTTCATCTCCTGAACTCAATGTTTCTTGTCAATTAACAGCATTGCCTTTCGACCACCAGAGCAGCATCATTATCTAATCTTACAGAAGCCAAAAGTGGTCAATGTTACTTTGGGTTCCCTTGGCACTGAATGACAGATTATTTTTTTCTTCCTCAGAAACTCAAGCTCTTGGACCTTGGAGAGAAAAAGACCTTTGTGAAATAGCACTCTTCCAGACTCTCCGTACATTTGCTCAGCCCAGAAGAACTGCTGGATGCAAGCCTCTTGCAAAATCATGCATAGAATTTACCATTTGTCCAAATTAAAATGCACTACTGTGTTTGAATTAAAAAAATCAGGCAAGTGTGCAGATGTAATAATTGTTAACTGTGAGGCTCAAGGCTTGCATTGCGTGAAAGAATTAACCTAACCTGCTGCTATCCTTGGATAAACATTCAGTGTGCTTTTGGCAGAGGGCCAAGGATGCACAAAAAAAAAAAAAAAAAAAAAACTCCAAAAGCAACCTCTGGAGAAAGTTCAGCCTCTGCAAAGGACAAATACAAAATTATCCACTGAGGCCTGAGAGAGGCAGAACCCCTTTACATAGAGTAGGGGATAGCTTGCTCACCCTCACCCCCTCCTGCTCTTTTTTCACCGTGATCACCAGCCAGGATCACTGTGAAAAAAACAGAAAATATGGTGTTCCCAGAGATGACATGCTTTTGCAGAGCTGATCTAGGCACTCATCTCTGTGCTGGCAGCCAGAAGACAGCAATATTCCTCTGTTAATACTGTATTTCCTTGTTTATTTGCATGACCCATCTGATTGATCTAATGCAGAAGTATCCCAGAACTGTTTAGGGAAGACATTTTGTTTAACCACAAAGTTGACTGGGTTTTCCTGTTCAAACAGTACACCAGCCCCACTCATAATCCATTATGTTGTGTTAAAACAATAACCAATGGGTGATTTAGAATTAATACAAACACACACCTATATATATAAACATATGCAATCACACGTATGCATGCATAGACGTGTGTGTGTGTGTAAAATTTAGAATCATTTAAGGCATTAGGAAAGGAAGTAAGATTAGCTTGTGTCACTAACACACAAGGTTTAAACTTTCTGCCTGTTGTGTAGAGTATAGCAGAAAAACAGACCAAGATGAAACACTTCAATATAATTGCTTTTTTAAAAAAAGAAAGGAAAAAAGGAGATATCATATGTAGCACAAACTTCACCACTGAACCATTACAAAAGAGCTACTG